AGTAAACAGTGTACTTCATTCCGTGCCGTATGCCATGGCCTAACCCTGCTTCAGACCTCTCATACCTTCCAACGTTAGCCTAAACAGGCCGATCGTGACAGCTGTATCCTTACTTAGAGCTTGAACCTGCGAATTATCAGGACCTTTGGCCCTTTCGACACCGTCGGAGCTTCATTCGATCGTCCAGCCGTCGGTAGGTATAGGCTATTGCAGTGATAAATACGTCAGGAATTCATAAAGCATAGAGTGGCCTATTATGTTTAAGCTTAGCCTAATTGGGGTAGCTAATCCAAGGCAAAAGTGAGTGGGAGTTGCATAGGGGATATATCCAGTCTAGTCTACCCGTGAAGATGCACTCGGGTTAATTTTGCATTGATGCTGTTGAATTAGACTAGTTTAAGCTGTGGCTTAGACCTACTTGTGCCGAAGCATATTTGGCACTGCAGGATGATACAGGCCTAAGGCAGTGTGGCGTTCTCAACCTTCGGCGTACTTCACGTTATAAGTCTTGGTAATGTAAACCCGCCCCATACTTGCTTCGGAACGAGCCTTTGTAGACAAAATCTGAGTTCGAATCGACGCCATTCATTTTCCGACTTCACGAATTGATTTCTTAGTTTTTGTATATGCGGGACGGTCACGTCACTGGAGTTTTCGTTTCGTGTAAGTAAAAATTTTCGAGTAAGTGAGAAGTGAATCTGTTGATGTATCCCGCAAATTCAAATCAATGTCGTTCTTGACCAAATGGAGGAAAATGAAGGCTTGGAAGGTTTCCGCGACCTTTTCTATTTCTTTGGCAATGGCGAGAGGAATTTTGTGGCTTGGAAGGGGCTTCTCTAAATCCAGTTACATTCCCTGGGTAGGAGGGAGTAGGTGTGCTCCCCTTCCCTATGAATCTTCTACTTATGTAGTGGGATCTTGAAAGGAATCCTTTTCGTGTCTTTGAGCTGTTACTAGGGGATAGGCCTGCAAGGCTTTAGAAAAGGGAAACCAGACCATGTTCATCTCGGGCGAATGCAAACGTTGCCTCTCCTGCCTGCTTCGCCGGCTGCATTTGTTTAGCCGCTGGTAAGAGCATGCCAGTGCCACCACCGACGATCACCTCTGACTCCATGGCAGCTGTGTTCGAAGTTTCCCGGATAGGGAAGTTTCTCAGGCCTCCCTGTGAAGCAGTCAAAAAGGCAGACTGCGTAACACATACAGGGTGTACTTGATTAAGCTGCCCCGTATATTGATGGAACGAGTAACCCCTGGGCAGGATATCCCTGACTCAGCGTAAATAACAACTCTCGTGGCGTATATCAACTCATTGAATTTTTGCCTCTTCCTTTGCTTCCAAGGCAAGAAACGCAGCTTGACTTGCGGTGTTCTTTTAGAATAGAACGGATTTATCGAGTTTTACGTATATTAACCCCTCTCTCCCGCACCTAAGGAAGTCGAGGTTACAGTTAATATTAACTAACCTCGGAATTATTTTATTTCATAGTGCATGCTATTTAACCATATTCTTTATTTCTTTACGGAGGACATACGACAGTGATTGTATTGTTCCTCGAATACGAGCAATTGCGTTTTGTGAAGCTTGTAATGCCGAGGAGTTTTATTTCTCTATCGTGGATCCCCCAAGAAAAGTAAAAATAAAAATAAAAAACTTCAGTTTAAATTTCGCTTTTGACGTGGAATTAGCCCCATTTTAATTTTGTGTAAACGAAAACCCTTTGCTCTTCATATCCCCGATACTTAGCCTTCCATGTTTGATGGTAAACTTAAGGGAGGCTCGCTGCTGACCTAGGCATTCCTCCAGCGTAAGTTTGAAGCTGGAACTTGCAGCCGTATGCGAATGGCCCGAACACTGAATTCGGAAGTGGTCGCTCGGGAATGAAAAAACGAGCAATATACTTTACAGTGACAGCCTCCATCCGACATGATGTGAAAGAGGATGGGGAGGCGAGACGAGATTCTTTCTTCACTCGGCCCGGGGATTACGCAATGGACCGGCTGTTCGTGTGCTGCCTGCCCAGCTTGCTCTCGGGCTGGGTTGAGGGACGAGTGGCAAGTGATTGGGGAATCGATCCCTTCGGCGCAGGCGCTCACTGCCTCCGTTGCCCGTTGCCCAGGGAAATGCGAATCGATCTCCCACGCCCTTGGTACTCGGCATCCTAGTCCCTTTCCCACCGATTACTATCTCTGAAAGACCTTGCCCGCGGCTATCTGTGTGTTGTAGCGTGTAGTTTATATAGGCCTAGCCCTGCCTCGATCACGACGATGATGATAGAGCCCTCGAGGAGATATGCAATATTAAACTAGCGTTGTACGTGTTGACTCTTCCAGGGCCGGATACGGGACAGGATACTGAAAATGAGTGAGGAGACGAGTTCGACTTCGAGTCCGAATCCCAATCCCAATCCCGCCTTCGCTGTCCTCACTTATAACCAAGTAGGAAATCATCACTCTTCCTCTTTTAAGTTTATCATTCGGTGCTTTCTTAGTAAGAAAATCTTTTTGATCTAACAATCCCTCCATTGGTTACAAGATACACGAGACTTGATCTCTTGTGAGGAACTTAACTGATTCGTTTGAATTCGTTTGATCTTGCAAGAGTTATGAAATTTCTTATGGCGTCCACGCCATTCGCTGTTACTACGTTTCTTCATGAGAACGATGTGTTACGTGCTCATCTCTGGGATTGCATTAGCTATTTGCAAGTGTATGCAGTGCCATGCAGAACAGTGAACTTTTTTTTTTTCTGGACGGCACAGACTCGTTTTCAACCGATTCCTCCTGCGCATGAATGCACCCTATGGTTTGGTCATGTGCCTCTTGAACATAAACAAGAAAGACGTTTCTTCCTTGTTTTCTGTCTAGAATCCGTTGTCGTATTGCCGCCTTTACATGTTTAGTGCCCGGTTCATGGTCTTGCATTTTTCTTGCCGGGCCTGATTGCAAGATTTGAGTAGGCCAATGCCCAAGCCATTTGCAATCGCAGTATGTATCTCGGTCAAGGTTAGAGGTAGACTCCTCGGATCCTCAGTGTCTGATCCTCCTGGGTCGTCTACCGCCGAAGATGTGTTTACAAGGACCCGAATTTTTCCCCGCCCCCTTCTCCCTTTGCATTCCTGAAAACGTATTGCAACTTGCATCCCTTTGCTTATTTGATGGCAAGGTCATAAAGAAAAATAAAACAAACACACTAGGAGCCCAGTGTTCGGAAGTCAAGAGCTAAAAGAAAGATTCGAGTTCTTAGTTTTATTTAAACAGCTAAAGCTAGGGGAGAGGTGGGATGGGGGGACTGAAAAGAAAGGGGAATAACTACTCTCTTGTGCGTGGTATTCCATTGAGCACATACAACGAAATGTTGATGGTGGCAAGGAAAAGCGGAGACTAAGTATTTTCGCAAGGCCTTGTCTTGTCCTTGTCATTCTTTGCTCCGGCTTGCTGAGTAACGAGTGAAGCGTTCAAATCTGAAGCTTAGTTCTCAGCTCAGTGGCACTCTTTTCTGGACGCCTGAAACAGTGAACAGAGGACTTTAAACCCCATTTTAATTTTCAATTTGTTTTTAATTTTATTTCCGCCACCGGACTTGTGATGTAATTCATGGGAATGCTTGAATCGAGGTGAAAGTTTTTGGCTTGCCTGTTTCATTGGAGATCATAACAAATAGACCTTGTGTTAACTTCAATACTAAATGTGCTCCAAAATATTATAACGTTCGCTATGAAGCAAGTTTTTTGTATGCGAGAGACCCGGAGAGAATAAAAAACTTGTAGGGAGGCGTAGTGTACGGAATAAAATTTAGAAAGAAGAGGAGCCACTCATATCCGAAGAAAATGTATTTGACAAAAGTGATCATCAATGATAATTATTACATTAATAAGTAATTGGTTTCCGACCGCTACTTTCGTGTACCTTAGAGGCCTAAGCGTGAAATTTTATTCCATCTCCATTCATGAGCTATACTGGAAAACAATGTCGCATGTGATTTCTCGTGCAGAGAGAAGTCCCCATGATGACCATATGTGGGGGGGCTTATTTTTTTTTGTCCTCGGGCGGTTCATGGAGTCACCTTCCACACAACAGTTGCTAGGGGACAACATAAATTCGGAGGGTATAATATGCGATGCGTTGAGGGTTCCTCCCCCCCCCCAACCCACAACCAAGAGTTAGGACAAGGTCAGACGAGATTGAAGGAGACGGGGTCTGGAGCTCGTAGATAACTACGGGCATGGGGTACGGAGTCGAAACTGAGAAGTCGCTTGGGTTATCTATTGTGGAGCAGAAGGGTGTGAAGTAGCCGACTAGATAGGGCCCATGCCGCTAGTCCTCTTTTAAGGCTTCCTCTCCCGGCGTGGAGGAGACGTTCACGTCCTCTGTCTCCTCACTTCCCTCTCACATAATCATCTTTACGGGGTCACACATACGGCACGGATGAGCGGAAGCCTTCGGACTCCGCATCTCCTGTATCAGAAGTGTCTAGGGAATTGAAATACGATCACAGGCTTTTCATGTACGTGGTTAGAGTGACAGCGAAGAGAATCTATCTTAAGGGTTTAGGGTATAGAAAGAAGGCTTTTCATGGTTCTGGACCTGGATGGAAAATGGAGCAGGGAGCAGATGGGAGGCCTCAACTTTTCACGTTCCCATTCTGGGCCGGGCCCGGCGGCCGCAATTGGGGCTAGCGGTCAAGGCCTAAGCAAGCATTACATAATCCCCCCTCCCCGTCTACACTGTCTTGGATCGAGTGGAATATGCACTAGCGACTAGTGAGACTGGCGGGCAGGCATCCGAAGGTCTTTTCTCTTTCGGGTTCGGGGGCTCGGGGCCTGGGCGTGGCGCCCTGCCAACCACAAACTACCAACCGGATACGGATCTCTCCCTCTGTGGGGCTCCAGGTTCCCTTCCGTGACACCAGAGACGCCTTGAAACATAGCCCATTCGTACATTAGATTCTATCGTCTTCCTTTTATCTCAACATCGTTATGATGGCTTCGAAGCAACAGCTCATGAGAGTAAAGAGTTCCAATCCGAGGAGAGGACAGAGCCACTTCAATCCCCCACGAACACGGTCATTACATTTCATTAAATCCTATTTCTTGGGGGTCTGCATTTAATTTAATCATGGCCTGACGAAGCTAGTGAAGACAAGTATGCAAGGATTTACTCTTATACAACTCTTTCGATAAGGAGACATACATTTGATTATACTCAAGTCCTATTACATACTTAGAGAAATGTCGGCCATGCAATCTTGAAAAGCATTCTCGTAAAGGTTCTCGAAAACCCAACCTATTACAAATTACATTGTCGTCAGAAAATGTATAGGGAGCACCATGGGAATATTTATTATTCATGCCTGAAGCTGTCCCTAAGTCAGTTTATCGGTGTCCCCACGGAAGAAGCCCAGCAAACTTTTAATGACCACTCAGAAACGTGATTCGGAGCGTAAGGCGTAAGTACGCCTGCCCCAGCCAACCAGGCCAATCCAAAGACTAGTGATTTCTTTCCAGGCACTCGCGATCTTTACGGAATCCATATTATTGGTTCGTTCACTTGCTTACAGAATCGGATATTAAACTTTTTGATGAGTTTTTCATAATGTATGATGGCATTTTCGAGATGGTTTCTTGGAATTCTGTAAATATCCAGTTCTGTATTTTGCATCACGCAGTTAGTGATGCGAAGTAGGACGCCTACAAAACCGTTTGTTCTGGTGCCACGGTAATTGGCACAAAGCCAAACGACTTTTGGCACATTTTCCCCAAGCCATCAGTTCTTGCCGATTGCCACTCTCGCTCTTTTCTGCCCTTTTCGTGCCCGTAGACTAGTGGTATCTGATCCCTCATCTGCCCATGATGAGAAGGCAGAGCCAACTGTTTAGTTGTGGGCTCTGTTACTGCTGTAGTTGAGCTATATGCTTGGATAACATAGCTCCATAGAATCCATAAGTCGCTGCACTTTTAAAACTGACACTTTTAACTCAGCTCGTTGGTCCCAAAGAGCTATTGTCTTTGCGACAGATTTTGGCAGGGATGCCGTTTTGCAGGCAGCATTTACTGGTATTCTAGGGATTTGTGCCAGAGTAAGAGCATGACCATGAAAATGAAACTGCTGGGTAAAAGTGGCACCATTTTCCTGTAATTTGATGGAGCCTTGTTTATTAGATTATTATATTAGGTTCATCCATTTAACTTCCATGTAGCTTAACAATGGGCCAGGGAGATTCAAGAAATTATTATTTATATGACCAGAAAAGACACAGATGTCACTGGAATCTGTGGACTTGGGCATTGAGACACTATGACAAGATTACTTCATGAATGATAATACTATGTAGAATAATCTAAGGGAAAATTCATTGAGATTCTTCTGAAATTCTTAACGTTTTTAATTGTCTCAGACATCCTTTCAAATTTGTTTGGAATTATTGAGCTATACATTGGCCTTGTAGCATTCTATGGAACTGGGTAGCAATCTATCTGTGTAGACTGTTTCCCTCTGGGACAGAATCATTGAAAGGAACACAGGACAACCTTTCTAGTGTTTTTATACAGAGTGACCATAAAGTTACTGATTTTTTAAAAATTTTATCTGGAGTGATCATGGGTCAGAAAAATTAATTTAGTCATAGTGGTAGGAGGAAATATATAACTTGCACTGGTCAATCTACATACACAAAGCAAATGGTTACTTCAGGTTCAATTATTAAAATGTTGCCCTTAGATGCCTTATGGGCACCCTATATGTACTTATTTGAGTTTTATATTGCATGCCAATATGAGACACTATGAAACATGCTTAAAGACAATTCCTAGAAAGTTGCTTGAGCTGTTTGGAAAGGTTAGATGCTGTGTAATCTGCCACCTCATGCAGGAATGAACATTAACAGGAAGTTTGAAGAAATGCTGACTCTTGTCTCAAGTGAAATGTATGCATTATCTGGATTTAGCTAAATTCTTATTGGATTTCATGTAATCTGATGTCAGGGATTTGTCATACTAATTTTCTGCCTTGACAGACCAATAGTTGTAGATGGGACTTGTTCCCTGGCCGGAAAGAAAAGAGACCATTCACAATTCTGCCTTGCCTTTTGCATTTGGCCGTGTGCTACCAATATCATTGATGGGAAATAGTTCAAATTGATTCTGCCTCAACAGAATTGAGAATCCAGAATTATGCTAGATGAACATAATGGAGTTGAGATGATTTGGTATTTTGAATTTTGATCCCTAAAAATGTTGCAAATCTTAAGCTTGCTAGGGCCTAGACCCACATTGACCCTTCTCATCGAGGTGCTGAGAGTATTCCTTTCTTTCACACTTGATTTTCATAGAAAAAAGTTTCACTGTTGGGTTGGACTTTCCTAGGATCACCCATCTTTTTCATGTTTCTACTGAGTCTGGGTATAAATTTGAGATTGTGATCTGCAAATGTTTAAATGGAATTTATTTTCCCTTCACATGGATGACCATCATTCTTTGCCCTTGTTTTGATCATCTGCAATCATTCAACCAATATGATTTGGTTGGACTAATGAGAGATGGATCTTTTGCAGGTGAGGCGGTTGAATGAGGTGGTGAACAAGGTGGTGCCAATCTATGGACGAGGGAATTATCCCACTTTGGAAGTGCGACTGAAGGAGCTGGTATGTGTGGTGAGAGATCGCCTGTTGAAAGCAGACATCCAAGTCCGCGAGATCCGGTTGAATGGAGGGGCAGCATCTCATGTCCTGGATCAGCAACCCTACAATGACTTGGACCTCATCTTTGCTGTGGATCTTTCAGATCCCTTGCATTTTGACAGAGTCATGACTGCCACTCTAGAGTCCCTCATGGACTTTTTACCAGATGGAGTGAGGAAAAATAGGATGTCTCCCTGCAGCATGAAGGAGGCATATGTGCATAAGATGGTCAAAGTCTCCACACCAGATCGTTGGTCACTTATCTCCCTCTCCAACAGTCATGGTCGGAATGTGGAATTGAAATTTGTGGATCGAATGCGCCGCCAGTTTGAGTTTTCAGTAGATTCCTTTCAGATCATTCTGGATTCCTTGTTGTTGTTTGAAGAGCATGCAAGTGTGCCAATGAGTGGGAGTTTCTATCCAACCGTGATTGGGGAGTCCATGTATGGGGACTTCCAGGAAGCTGTTAGACATCTCCATGAGAAGCTGATTGCCACAAAGCAGCCAGAAGAGATTCGTGGAGGTGGACTATTGAAATATTGTAACCTCCTTGTCAAGGGATATAAGCCAGCTGTTCCTGATGAGATGAAAAGCCTTGAGCGATATATGTGCTCCAGGTTCTTCATTGACTTCTCTGATCTCATCCAGCAAGAGTGCAAGCTGGAGAATTACCTGGCCAATCATTTCATGCAAGAGGAGGAGAGTTTGAAGTATGACTACCTGATGATCTTGCATCGAGTGGTTGAAGAGAGTACAGTGTGCCTGATGGGCCATGAACGGCGTCAGACATTGAGCCTCATCCAGGATCTCGCATTTGGAGTCTACTGCCAGGAGCAAGCAACACTGATCTCCAGTCATTTCCCGGAGTCTCTCTCGGTTGACTTCCCTCCAGGCCTCCTCTATGCAAATCAGTGGTTTTATTCATCTTGTGAGCATCACCCTCGACCCCACACCCATGTCCACACTCATCCTCAATGGTTGCCCTGTGCTTGAGATGCATGTCCATCAGGAGGCCCTATTTCTTCGTCTTCTCTTATTTATTGCAGTGACCGCTTGCAAGAGTGGCCTCTCTCATTCTTTTCCCTTCCCTTCCCTTCCCTTCCCTTCCCTTCCTCCTTTTCTTTCTCCCTCTTTTGAAACACATCTGTTCATTCCTGTTGGAAAGTGACTTGTCCTTTACCATTCCTGACCAGCAAAGACGAGGACTGATGAACATTGTGATACTAAAAAAGAGAGAAAAAAATTACTTGTTTCCTTCATCCTGTTTTGGCTGGTGTTGTGTGTAGGTCAAAGGGTCTTGTATATGACGAATACTCCTCACTTGCTTGGGTTTTTCCAGACGTGTGGCTGTGATGAGCAGGCCTGCAGTTGCTTGAAGCAAGAAAAGGTGCAATAGACTATATACATTACATTACATTTAGCTAAATTTCTCAATCTGAGCCGGTTCTCTTGTCTATCAATCAAGTGAGCACTTTTTTGTTTGAAGCATCTCCATTTTCTCCAGATGAAATGTGCAAAGAGGTTTTGTTCCTTCAGTGATGGTGTGATTTGCAGAGGTATTTTGAAGAATAAAGCGATACAAATTGGAATGCATTTTACAATTATCACAACTCTCATCGGAGCTACTAGAGTTGAGAATCTCTCCAGAAATGGGATGTAGCTATCCATTAAATGAGGGAAATGACCAGATGGTTCACGAGCATTTTTTGCCCATGTCTTTCTTGGGAGTGTGATTGAACATTGAGATTTGACTGAGGAAAGCGCAAATTAGAATCTATTGTTGCCTGCCCGGTAGGTCTGGCGCGTCTTGGTGCATGTCAAGACAAAGGCCTGAAGTATATGACGAAGTAATCCCTTTCTCTGATTTTCCACACCAGAATTTCTGGGAAATCGAATTCCTTTAGTTTTTACGCTGGATGTGATGTTCCTACCCAGTGCTAATCCGTCAAGAAGTGGAAATTGCTACAGTGAATTTCCGTAAGTGGTTACCATTTAACCCACTGATGTGGATCCGAATTATCTAATGGAAAATCTTCAACAGCCCTTTTAGTTGAAGTTCTCGTGTGAAACTCGTCGGTGAAAAAAAAAGAAGAATTATGTAGGGTAAACCCCCCCCCGCAAGCAAGTAAACAAGACGTCAGGGAGAAAGAATCGTTACTATCTAGAAGTCAAAAGTATTTACGAGTTAATAGCATACTATGCTGTTTCCTCCCCGATTAGTGACTAACGAATGAACTCCAGCTTACTCACAAGACTTGATCATCGGGATCAATCATGCCAATGACTTGGACCTCTGGCTCGAGGGTTGGTAACATTTAGTATTATGATGCAATCCTGATCCGTGTTTGTGAAAGTGTCTACTGTAAACGAAGTTTTTCCCTCATTCATTAAGAGGAGGGTCGTGTCTTTGACACGAGAAAAGGCCTTTCCATCGCTTTGCTTTGAAGAATCCATTCAAGTGCTAATAGCTGGAAATTTAAATATAAGGTTAAATTCGAGTTCGTTCGAAAGGATATTGCAGATCGGCCACTTTAAATATTAGCTTTATGAATATTTTCCGTACAAGATAGGGAGGGTGGGGCACCATGGGTCACTTTTTTGTGGGCCTGCAACTTAGGCACTTTTATTCCTCCGAAGCAATGGAAGACCCTGCGTGTAAAGACTCACATCACCTGCACAATCCTCTCTTTCAAAATTGTCAGCCTACAAGTTTCGAGCGATAAATAAATATTTTTAAATGGCGTACCATGAGTCAGTGTCCGGGGCACGATGGGTCGTCCCCATAATCATCGCTAAATTAAATTTAGTTGACCTGAAGTCATAATACAAATAATGAACCTTCGCCCCAAAGGAGACTCTCTCCGACACTGTTGCACTTTGCCACAGCTATCTGGAAAAAGTAGGAACTTTCAATCGGAAAATATACGACTCGTTTCACGTCAAAGAATATCACATCTGCTGACATTGAACCCTTTAGAGTCTGGCAACTTTTAATTGCGCGTTATCAGGTCGGGAAAAGACTGCAAAGGAAATCCTAATCTGCATTGGCAACTATCGGGAAACATTTGGCACTCAGTGTTATGACATTTTGTGCCCCAACAGGAGCCATTAAAATGAAATCCGAATTACAACCATAGTAAGTTGCGATTGTAGTTCATACGTACAGACATTGAACTAAGTATTTCCCAAATCAAATCCCTGTAAGAATTAAGACTTTTGGTCGAATGAAACAAACAGCGAAAATCGAGACGTCACTGTCAACAAAAACGAAAAAAAAGCGTCTTCTCAAGAAAAACGTTCGCATCATCTGCATTTTTGGTGAAGACTATTCTTTTTTCAGCTGCACTTTTCTAGCACCTCAGCTGGAAGATATGCAGCCGAAGACAAAGAGAAACAGAGCTGGGAGAGCTTATGGACAGCCCTACCCATAGTACTCCGTGACCAGGATCGTAAATACCCCATGTGGCGCTCCCGGGCAGGGAGTCATGGACGCGCCCCCCCTGGCGTTTTTCCTCGTTTGTGTCTGCCAGTCCTCCAGTCCCTAGAACTAGTACCTGCGTATCGACGTCTAAGTTTGCACGCCCTTATTTTAAGTGAATCTGAATGGCAAAGCCGAGTTGACGTTTTTTAAATTTAAGAATACGGAATAGTCATGAACTCATATCGCCATTCAGACGCTCATGAGTCTCCCTCTATAATTACAGCACAGCTTTCCTTGCTTTGCGAGACGCAAAGATGTGAATGATATGATCAAAATCCACATCCTTTGCTGCTTGATTTTCAATGAAGAGCATTGCAAGGCTTCAGAGCCTTTCTTGGCCCATCGTGGAAAAGATGTATGTCTTGATGAACTTAAGCTTGCTGAAGCTTCTCCCCACTTCTCCCCATAAGAAAAATCCTGAGTTATCTCCAAGTTGGGATGCGCATCGACCAGGCGTTTCTGATGGATAAAATTCAGAAGATCCAGTGATGAGGCATGACTGAAGTTTCGGTCCAGACAAGGTCCATGATGTTGAAAGCTTTCCATCTCTGAGTGAAGCTCAACTGCCCTCAAATCGTTTGGGTATGCCATTGCCAAATCTTTAATGTGCTTCTGAAGCTCTTCAATGGGCCAGTTGACGATGGCAATACCGTTCAGGAAGCTGAAATCATCGCAAACAGACTGAAGACTCTGAAAGCGCCATTCAAACTCATCCAATAAACGATCAATGGCTTTCAATGTTATCTATACATTCTGAACAACTCTTCTTGGGAGAGGTCACCAACTTCATCGATGGATTCTTCACCGGGCTTTCTTTTCTTTCGACGGCATCTCCTGATGGGAAGTGTCTTCAATACATAACTTCAGGCATTGTTTCCTTGCTTTCATCAGAGCCTCAGAAATCACAGACTCTCGAATCGACTGCATGGTGTTTTTAAGTCCCAAGACATGAGAAGCCGAACCTGCTCTCAGGAATCAGGAGTCGACCACTCACGCCTCAGCATGTTCATACGAGAATATCTATCGGAATCTGATTACATTATGTTCCTCTTCTCGCGCCTGCGAGAACTGAGGATTCCTGCAACCATTTTTTCATTGTGTAAACCTTTTATGGGGGCTCTACATTCTGGGTATTTACAGAAAATTTGCCATTCTATCTTTTTACGACCATATTTTCACTGCCCTACACAATTTTTCTTTTAAATTTTTTCTGTGCCTCGTTCGCCTTCCGCTTGCTTCGCCCCCCTCTGTTCTCGGCGCCCCCTTCCTTAGATGGCGCACGGGGCAGGTGCCTCCCCCCCCCTTGCCCCCCTTATTTACGGCCCTGGACCGTGACCCATGGTGCCCCACCCTCCCCTAACAATTACGTTTTCCTGACATTTCCCTCGTTGAACTACACTGAATCTTGGCTTTCCAACACAGACAATTTCTGAAACTTTTGCTCAACACGCTTGTGTAGGAACATGCCAAGATATTTCCTGGAAATAATTTGGCTGCTATAGCATTTTTTTAAAATCTATTTTTCAATGTCAGACAAGGAATAGAAGAAAGTGGTGATGATCAGAGCTGGATCTCGCATGTGTGAGCAAGGACAAATCGTTTCGGTGTGCTACCGAAACGATTACAGTTCTACCGTGTAAAAACAAGGGAAAGTCCAGTTGTCGTGCATTTGGAGTGTTCCCGTGGACATGCCGCTTGTAGGGCCTCGTCCACGCCACGAAGTTTTCCCTGTAATTTTTCTTTGGAAGTTGACTAGCCACGACTCTTCCTAAGTGAGGATGCCTTTTGAAGTTTTATTTGTGAGACTTTTAATGCCCTGGAAGACATATTTGGAAGCTTTTTTTTTAATATATTCATTTTCAAATTCTTTTCACTGTGCAAGAATACTTCCTGAGCTGGACTAGCCCTAGGCGAAAACAGAAACAATATTTTACCCATGTGAATGGAAGCGATATGTAGAAGAATGTTTCAGAAAACTGTAAAACATGGGTTGAGCGGTGAAATTCGGCACAGTGGTGGGTGACCCTCAGTAAAAGGACGGAATAAGACATTATTTTAGAACTAGACCAAGGCAGTTGCTACGGTCGGTTTTTAAGTAGGTTCTGGTTGTTTCAGATATTTTAAGCTAAGGGAAATTGGATTATGTATTTTAGCGCAGACGTAGCCTCGAAACTTCCTCTACCTCTACTCTACCGACGGTACGGAATATCTCATTTTGGTGTGTCACTTTTTAGGGGGACTCCTTTCCGAAAAGATAGGAAGTCACATGTACCTGCTCTGTCTGCGTGTCTCTCGCTTTGTGCTGGTTGGATTCAGGCTAAGTGTGTTATTGGCGGAATTCGTGCCAAAAACCGAATGACACCGACAACGCAGCCAGTTATTGTTCAGCCAGATAACATTATTGGTGGGGCCTATGTTGACCCAGCGTGACTCTCCAGCGTCAGGATACATTGGCCATTCTTTGCCATTTACGTGAGGCTCCTCGTTAAAGTAATCATTGGGCCAGCATTGGCAGTTATCAATGCGTTTGCATGTAGCCCACTTCATTCCCACCAACTCCTACGAGTTCACATCTGTATTGATTTTTAATATGTTGAATATGGTACTGAGTGGAGTTACCAGGCATCGATCGATTGGGAACCTAATATAGCAGGGTGTCCCAAAAGGCCCTGTACAACTTTGAAATTAAATTACAAATTAACCGTAAGAGTTAGAACTAATCTGTTTATTGCATCATAATATGCATCTCAAAAAGTTTTTTTTTCTTACAATATTAGAATACAGAAATGTGCTCTGCGTGTGTTGCATGGAGAACGTCAAGGCGATAACCAATTTCTTGCCACGTTCGCTGTAACATGTCCACATCAGCATTCCTCATAACATCGCGAATTCTGTACAACTCCTCAATGTTGCTCACTTTTNTACATTCTGAACAACTCTTCTTGGGAGAGGTCACCAACTTCATCGATGGATTCTTCACCGGGCTTTCTTTTCTTTCGACGGCATCTCCTGATGGGAAGTGTCTTCAATACATAACTTCAGGCATTGTTTCCTTGCTTTCATCAGAGCCTCAGAAATCACAGACTCTCGAATCGACTGCATGGTGTT